CGCCGAACATGCTGTGATTCTCATCAACAATTGCATTTCTGACAGTCTCAATCCGATTTTTATTCGCATGACGTATAAAATGCTCTCTGACCCAATTCCAAACTCAACCCCCTCCTCAGGTCGATAAACATCATCGTTCTGCCTCAGAACCTCACGTACTGCCCCTCCGACCTGACCACGGACAACAAGGGCAGCTACGTGTGGCCACAGACGCTAGTGGGCGTCGAAGTGGCGCTTCCATGTGTGTCCACCGCTGATGACGAGAGGGCCAGGAGGAAGTGTGGCTGGGGAGGGGAGTGGATGGATTCTGACACGTCTAGGTGGGGCTACGTCATCTACGTCATCTAAGTTTATGACGTCATCGTCGACGGCCTGATTGTCATCGTTATTATCTATCATTCATTTGGTGTCATCTTTTTAATCGGGTGGTTCTCTATCCCATTTCATCACCGCTTCATCATCCGCATCACACTCGCCATCTACATCATCATCATCATCAAACTGTATTATCACCATCATCATCTGAATTGCCACATCATCATCATCATCACCACCACCATCTGGATTGCCACATCATCATCACCATCATCATCATCATCATCATCATCATCATCATCATCACCATCATCTGAATTGCCACATCATCATCATCATCAACATCATTATCATCATCATCATCATCATCATCATCATCACTTCCTCTCCAGCTGCCTCCACGAAGATCTCATCACTCGCATCCTCAAGGAATCAGCTTCCGTATGTTTTTCTTAATTTTCTAATTTTTTGGTTTATTATTTTGTACTATCAATTACTCATTTAATTAGCTAGTAATTAATTAATTAATTATTAAATAATTAATTAATTAATCAATTGATTACTAGATTGATTGATGTATGTATTCGTAAGTTTATTAAGATTTCACTTTGTTCAGGCATTGAGGTACATGAACGAGGACGGTGAGTGATTCGTGAAGAAAATAAATAAAATGAACCCTCAAAGGTACCAATAAGATGGGGAAGGTGTGAAATAAAGGAAAATATTCATTGGCGCCAGGCCACTTCAAACGCTTCAAACGTCTATTCTTAATGCATTGTTACAGACATGTGAACATACGAAGCGTGAACCGTTACTGAATTATTAGTGAATTTATTGAACATAGGTGAATTATTATTATTATATATTCAGGCAGATATAGCATGTAGGAAGCATAAGGTTAAACAGCTGACGATTTAATTAGGTCAGGCTGTTGCAAACAGCTGACGATTTAATTAGGTCAGGCTGTTGCAAACAGCTGACGATTTAATTAGGTCAGGCTGTTGCAAACAGCTGACGATTTAATTAGGTCAGGCCGTTGCAACCACGGCAAACAGTAAACATTCACTAAAAATGAATAACAATAGACATGAATGTCAAACATTCCGGATGACAGTTTTAAAACGCCATGGAATGGATGATGATGACGTCATCAAACAGAGGCACGTGGACAAACGCCGGCTGCTACATCATTGATGACGACGACGACGATGCAGCGGCTGCTGCAACTGATAATGATGATGATGATGAAAACTTCAATGGTGACAGCAATGATGATAACGTTGGAACTGCGAAAAAGTTCGTGATCGTCAAAAACCACCATCATCGCCACCATGGTGGTAGCCACGATGACTACGACGACGATGATGACGACGACGACGACAAAGATGTCGTCCACAACATCGATCATTACGTCAAGTTCACGTGCAACAAATTTGGCACGTACACGTTGGCCGAGGCAAGTCAGAAGCAAATTAATGCTAGTACCGCTACTGCTGGCGCTGATACCACTACAACTACTATTATTTTTACCACTACTACTACTACTACTACTGCTGCTGTTGCAACTAGTACTATTGATACTACTACTACTACAATTACTACTACTACTACTACAATTACTACTACTACTACTACTGCTACTACTACTATTACTTTTACCACTACTACTACTGCTGCTGCAACTACTTCTACTACTACTACTTCTACTGCTACTATTTTTACTATTATTACAATTACTTCTACTACAACTACAACAACAACAACTACTACTACTAATCTCGCTACTAACACACTGAATAAATAATGAATAATTATAAACAAATTAAATAAATCATAAACTGTAAACGAATCGCCTCCAGTCGCCACTGCCTCTCCCAGCCACCAGCGGCCTGACGCTGCTGCTGATGTCTATGAAGAGGATTGACGTCATCGTCTGCGTTGGCTCACTCATCACCATTGCTACACTGGTCGTCATCATCTGCATCTATGCCAAACACTACAGGTATGTACCGGTGGTGGTATGGTGTGGTGTGGTGTAGTGTGGTTTGGTGTGGCGTGTTGTGGTGTGGTGTGGCTGGTGTGGCGTGGCGTGTTGTGGTGTGGCTGGTGTGGCGTGGCGTGTTGTGGTGATTAAAATCCTAATGGTCATCTATTTGGTGGTGTTACGATGATTGATGACGTTATA